AGGAAAAGCATATAAATTTTAGGTCTCGTATAGAGCGCAGCGAGTTGGGATATGGTGTAGCGCAAAAATGGATAAATGTTGAAGTATGGGTAATAAAGGATTCACAAATCTTTTACACCATGGATAAAACGCCTCTGATTACTCGTTTTCCCGTGGGAATACCGCCGCCCAAGTTTTGTCTACCTTGGATTTAAATTGGGCTAACATTGGTGCTGAGACCACCGCTTGATGCAGTTTATTCCATGGGTTGATTACTCTATGGGCAAAGAACTTTGCTCTGATGTTTCTGAATGCCCTTGGTTTTATCTACTTCCGCTTGTGGCCCCTGAGAGCCGAGTCTTCACTGCATATTAGGAGAACCCTGCTCTTAACCGAGCTCCCCTTTAGTTGTCAGGTCACAGGACTTGCGGCGGAGCCAGGAGCAGTCCAGTTTCTTGCACCAATGTGCTTGGGAGCACCACGGCGCTGCGACAGTGGTATTATTTTGTTCACGTAGGCGTGGGTGGGTGCGGTTCTGGAAGAGGAAAACGCACTTCTGATGGTTCCTCTGAGTAACAGTACACGTCTCAGGTTTTACCAGGATCAAAGCAACAGCTCGCAATCAACCGCTCCGAGCTACCCAGAGTAGTAGGTGTGTTGGGAGAAGATGCATGTCCCAAAAGTGGTGGTGCTGTATGTTGAGAACTTTCAGTAAAATGTGGTGCACAGTGAATAAAAATGGAGCTGGGGGAGTTGGAGAAATCAAAGTAAAGTAAGAGATAAATGTGAGGGAGACGGAGACGGACGAGCTATTAGCGACTTTAGGCCCGGTGTCAGGTACAATCGGGGAACGTTGATGCCCAGGATGCGTCAGGATCTCGCTAATGGTTTCTGACGCCACTACCTCTTGAGGCAGTTTGTTCCGTTTATTAATTATCCGGTGCAAAAAACGGTGGCTCTCAGACGTTTGANTAAAATGTGGTGCACAGTGAATGAAAATTGGAGCTGTGGGAGTTGGAGAAATCAAAGTGGAGTAAGAGATAAAGAGTTAAAAATAGGGGACCCGGAGACGGACGAGCTTTTAACGACCTTAGACCCGGTGTCAGATACAATCGGGGAACGCTGATGCCCAGGAAGCCTCAAGCTTNAACTTGATACTGTGTCCCGTTCTGTTGGGTACATCGTTCCGTTGAAGTACGTGGGAGATTCCATGATAGAAACCCGTCAAGATACGGAAGGTTTCAATCAGATCTCCCCTCAGGCTTCTCCGATTGAGTGAAAACAGGTTCAGCCCCTGTGGGCGTTCGGCATATGTTGCTCCCCGAAGGTGCGGGAACAGGCGCGTGAACCTCTTCTGCGCTCTTTCCAGAACCCTTTGGTCCTTCTTCAGAGTAGAGGACCAAGCTTGTACGCAGTACTCCAGATGCGGCCGAACGGAGGCCATATAGATCGGGACTGGCACGACAGGATCCCTAGATGTCACTGTGCGCTTCAACCTGAACAACGCTTTATTGGCCGTACGTGCCGCAGCAAGATCCTGGGCAGAGCAGTTGAAAGCGGAGTTCAGAGTGTCCCCTAGGTCCCTGATCTCTGGCACAACTGCCATAGCATCTCCGTCGCGAGTCCCCATATAGCGTGGCCCAAAACCTTGAGCACTCCCACCTCGTATGATCGTCCCCGTCGCGCGTCCTCATGTAGCGTGGCCCAAAACCCTGAGCACTCCCGCCTCGTAGGATCTTACACTTTTACCCTGAGCACTCCCGCCTCGTAGGATCTTACACTTCGCCGCATTTAAAGGGAGACCCCACTCTGCAGACCATGCTTGTACTGCATCTAGGTCACGCTGGAGGTCTACACCCTGATGCGAGCCAAGGACATTAACGTCGTCTACAAAGATGAACATGGGTGAAGCTGGAGGTCTACACCCTGATGCGAGCCAAATAGTTTAACGTCGTCTGCAAAGATGAACGTCGGGTTCGGGGAACTAGATCATTGATGAAGACCAGAAATAACAATGGTCCAAGCACCGAGCCTTGTGGGCCCCCGCTGTAAGCATGCCCGCGTCCCGACATATCCCCCTCCACCCGTACGCGAAAGGTTCTCCCTGTCAGGTAGCTCTCAGTCCACCTGACTAAACTAGGGTGGATTTCTATTAATCCTAGGTTGGTTAACAGCAGCCGATGGTTGACGGAGTCAAGGGCCTTTCTGAAGTATAGATAGCAGACTTAGACTGGCTTTCCTCTGTCCAGCCGCTCAGTCACGGCATCCAGGAAGGCTAGCAGGTTTGTGAGGCACAAACGGCCTTGACGAAACCCGTGCTGAGCCTCCGCCAGTAGGCCGCATTGGTTGGGGTAGCTGGCCATTTTATCTCTGATTAGTCTTTCCATGACCTTTAGAACCACGGAGAGTAAGCTAACGGGCCTATAGTTAGTGGCTAGCTCCCTATCGCCTCCTTTGTGGATGGGGGCCGCATTAGCTACTTTCCAGTCCTGCGGCAATGTGGCTGTCGCCACGGACGGATTGGAGAGGCGAGCTAACGGGGCAGCCAAGATACTCCCTAGAGGCCCAAGCAGTGCTGGGTGGATTTCGTCCGGTCCCGCCGCTTCTCTCCTATCTAAACTCACTAGGGTCTTTTTCACCTCCTCCGGTAAGAAAATAATTTCATCCATCAGCGTGGATCCTGCCGGCTGGTGCATGGGTTGCAGGATGCCCTCATCCTTCGTGTGTACGCTCTGGAAGTGCTCACACAAAGCGATGGCTTTCTGGGAGCTTGTCGTGGCGTGGGTGTTGTTCTTTTGCCTGATACAGCCGACTGCTTCCCTTGTAGTCGACTTAGACTGGACATACCCGTAGAAAGCCTTGGGGTAGCGCTTTGCTTATTGGTCAGGGAAAGCTCGAAAGCTTTTTTGGCATATAGGAGGATGCAGTGGAAAGACTCTTGTTCTCGTGGGTACTGAATGTGTCTAAGATAGCCGCCTGTGCCACACAGTCGTTACCACGCGGCCCGCTTTCTAATAAGGGCTTTTTCATTCGACTGGACCACCAGGGCGGGGTGGTCCGCAATCTAACGGGATACAGGGGTTAGAAACTATTGGTGAGAGTCAGCAGGTTATCGCTGATCAACTCCCACGACTCCACAGTCCCATAGTTTGCTTCTGACCAGACCATGGTTCGAGCGGCACACTGGAGACATTCGAGCTTCATGCGCCCATAGCGTCGCCTCAATTTGACTTGAGAAAGCGGAAGAGCACATTCGTATTGGCACCGGATACTAGCGTGGTCACTTCTGCCTACCGGTGCACCTATGGCAGTGATCCTGCTGTCATTCCTGCTTTTGGTAAACACAAGATCTAAGGTGCTGGGAGAGTTATCCAGTCGCCATCGGGTGGGATTGGTAACATGCTAAGTGAGCGCCAATGCATGCATCACCTCTAGTAGCTCATCCCCAAAGCTGCCAAATGGCGTATACTCCATCTCCCATTCGATCTCAGGAGCATTGAAATCCCCCAAGACAAGAACCCTACTTGCCCGAGTTGTTGTGTGCCGGAGAAAATCTATCAGAAACTCATTTTCGTCGATGCCTGCGCTTGGGCTACGATAGACACTCAGAACTGAACCATTAGATCTAGACGCTTTAGGGGTGAAATCATAGAAACGTTTAGGATGATGAAAGGATTCACCGCCGTAAGCGCCGAAAGTTTTTCACTCGAGCGCCCGTAGAGGTCACCAGAGGACACAGCTTAAAGCTCCTAAAACCAAGTGCTCGCCTCGGTGTGCAGTTCAACTACTACACGAACCGAGTGGTTGATAGATGAAGTCAGCTACCACCTCACCTGATGGAATGTGCGAGTACAGTCAATTTCAAGAGGCAGTTAGACAGGCTTTGGACCCAAATATACCCAGAAGTGGTATAGAAGCAGGATATGAGATTGTTTAGTGTTCACATGCAACATGTTTTCCAACTATTCTCCTTTACAGATATTTTACTGGAACCAGTTTCCTGCCGCGAAACAGTTGCAAGACAGCGACTGAAACGATTTTTGAAGCTTTGGGAGAAGAAACCTTCGTACCGATACAAGAATCTGGACGCTTGGTTCGCGTAAGCCTATTCTGTCCTGTGCAATCTGACCTGACCTGACCTGAATTCTCAGCTCCAATTTTCATTCACTGTGCACCACATTTTACTGAAAGTTCTCAACATACAGCACCACCACTTTTAGGACGTGCTTCTTCTCCCAACACAACTTTTACTCTGGGTAGCTCGGAGTGGTTGGTTGCGAGCTGTTGCTTTGATCCTGGTAAAACCTCAGACGTGTACTGTCACTCAGAGGAACCATCAGAAGTGCGTTTTCCTTTTCCAGAACCGCACCCACCCACGCCTACGTGAACGAAATAATTCAATTGTCGCAGCGCCGTGATGCTCCCAAGCTCATTGGTGCAAGAAACTGGAATGCTTCTGGGCCCGCCTCAAGTCCTGTGATCTGTCCTGTCCTCCTGTCCTGTCAAGCCTTTCTTCATATGGCTTGACCCTCATGCCCGAGACCATTCGGGTGGCTAACCTCTGAAACTTCTCCATGCACTAAATGTCTTTCCGCAGCTAGGGTGCCCAGGCCTGGGCACAATATTCTAAGTGGTGTCTCACCAGTGCCTCATACAGTGAGATAAAGACTTCTGCCTTTCGATTGATCAATGTATTTCTCAAGTGGAACAGCTGACCTCTAGCCCTTTGCGCTGAAGCTTTGCATTGGTTGCCTGGCTTGTAATGCTCGGAGACTACGTCGCCTAATTCCTTCGTTTGGGTTACACGTGTTAGTTCGGTGGTTTCCGCCTCCGTGCTTACTCTAACTGGACCGCCGTCAGTGTTCAATATGTGACACTTTGACGGCTTTAGGTCCAAGTCCCACATCTGAGTCCAAGGCACAACCTGTGTTATGTCTTCTGCAGTTGGTCTCGCGGGTCCGAGTTAACTAAATTGACATCGTAGGCAAACGCGAAAGTCGGGATGGACAAACCTCTAACTAAGTGATCGACGTACAGCAGGAAAAGTATCGAGCCTAGGATCGATTCCTGTGGCACCACACTGGTGACTTTTCCCTCCCAGGAAGGCCGAAGTTCTGTAGCTTCTTGAGTAATAATCGGTGATTTATCGAGTCGAATGCCCTCCTAAATACCATGTAACAAACCTCAACCTTATGACCTTCGTCTAGCTTCCTTGTGATTTCGCAATGAAACGCATTCCCAGAAGAGAGTCTTTTCAAAACGGAAAGCATCATTCAAGCCTCGACTTGACAAGTATCTAGGTCTAGTTGCCTCCTCTTGTGTCCTCCTATGAAAAGCTTTATATATGTACTCAAAAAGAAAGAAAAACAAATTTTTTTTTATTATTTTGCTTTTATTCTTTTATTTCACTGTAGCCCTTTTTAGGTACTCTATGCCTGCCCATTTACTATAGCTCATTGTTACGTTTATTATTAAGGTTGCCATAATAACTAGCACCGCTAGTCCCCGGGCAAGAGTATATATTGCCCTTCCAGTTTTCCCTGATTTTCCAGTTGCATCTTCCAAGAACAGAAAACAAGAAACCATCAAGGATCCGGGACCATTGGGCGCCAGCCTCGAACCCGAGAGTCACTTCAAGACTCAGCCTCTAGCTACTCCGATTACCGAGTCTATCCGCCTGAGTGAGGAGCAGCTAGACAGCCCAGGAATTAGTTCACGCCAGGAAACGTCAGGGTCACTCAATAGGACAGTGATCCCTAAGAAGCCCGTGACAAGTGCGCCAATCACTGTGTCGTCACCAAAGGGAGAGCCGACTGCCTCTCTGAAGCAGAAACGGGTGACGAGCTTAGGGAAGGATAAAGATCCCGTTAAGCTGAAGTTCAACAATCTCACCGAAGTGATCAACTCAGCGCGATCAGCTGAACAGCAGGAACTACCTGAGTTAAGGCAAGTGTCCAGAGGCACCCGCACGCCTGCCTTGAAAAATAACAACATGCAACACAGAAGCGTCATTATCTTCGGAGTGCCAGAGAGTATTGATCAGTCTCTCAGAGCTAGGGACTTACAGGATGAAGCGTGCATCACTGATGTACTGCGTCACATGAACATACAACTTGATGTAATCAAGCATCACAGACTAAACAGTAGTGATGCAACTACTAAAATTCACGCCGCCAGACCAATAAGACTAGAGACTG